TCCAGGCCACACTGGTTTATGTAGCAAATTCCAAACCACCTGGGACTGCATGGTATTGTGGGCATTCACAAGAGAAAACCCACTTGGATGTGGATTTAAACCTGTTAGGGACTCCTTTGTAGTATTGAGCCTTTCTCAGGATGAGCTTTTAAGCACAAAAACCATGGTTGACACACTTCAGTTAGCAAGAACAGTTAGCCAGAAGTGGAACCACAGATGCCAAAAAGCAAGGTTAGTACATTTAGAGACTTCCCCAGAACTATGGGCTTTGTAGGTTTTTTGTTTTAGTTTTCGGAAGGCGGTGCCGTCTACACGCTGCGCTTCACAGCATAAAGGGCGCTTACATCCTGGGGTCAGTTGTACTAAGGTCTCAGAGCCTACAAAGGTCTGGGGCCCTGTTATACTTAGTCAGACCCTGTCTCGAAGACAAATGGCCAATAAATGATTTTAAAAGTGTTCTTTTTTTAAAAAAAAATAAATGATTTTAAAAGGGGCTGTTGATGGAGAGATGGCTCAGTGATTAAGAGCACTGGCTGCTCTTCCAGAGGTTCAATTCCCAGTGACCACATGGCAGTTCACAACTGTCTGTAACTCCAGTTCCAGGAGATCTGACACAGTCACTCCAGTACACATAAAATAAAGTTTAAAGAAAAAAAAAAGAGCTAATAGAGGCATCTTTTTTCTTTTTTTTTTTGTTTTTTTTTGTTTGTTTGTTTGTTTTGTTTTGTTTTGTTTTTTCGAGACAGGGTTTCTCTGGCTTTGGAGCCTGTCCTGGAACTAGCTCTGTAGACCAGGCTGGTCTCGAACTCACAGAGGTCCGCCTGCTTCTGCCTCACGAGTGCTGGGATTAAAGGCTCGCACCACCATCGCCTGGCTAGAGGTATCTTTTAAAAAGGTGTTCCACATCCCTATCTCTCATAGAAATGCAAATTAAAGCCACTTTGAGATTCCATCTCACCTCAGTCAGAATCAGAATTCTGAGCTCATCTCGATCAGAATTTATCAAGAAAAAAATGCTCTTTAGGAAGGGGGAGAGGGGAAAGATTCTCATTCGCTGTTGGTGGAGCTGCAGCCACTGTGGAAATCATCAAGGAGGTGTCTGAAAAGGAAACAAAAACACTGATCTATGATCTATCTGCAACAGTTCCAGACACCGTATACACAAAGATGTTTGCACATCCATGTTTATTGCTGTTCCATTCACAAAAGCAAGGGAACTGAGTCAGTCTACAGATGAATGGATCATAAAATGTAGTTCATATACACTGGAATTTTATTAAGCTGCAAAGAAAAACAATAATAGCCAGAAAATGGATGTGTAACCGCCCAGTGGGTCAGTTAGTCTAGGGGTTGTAACCCACCTGGCAGGTCAGTTATTCCAGGGTCCCGAAGAGGCACTATCTGAAAAGACTGAAAAGACGTGGGCAAGAGAGAGGACCAAGGCCAAGCGAGATGTTGTCAAAGCCTCTGTTTATTAGTGGCATGGTTGCAGCTCATATAGCCCCCGGATGAGGAATTTGGGTTGGGATGGGGGGCAGGGGCATGACCAGGGCAGGGTGGGATCTTGCAGTGTTAGTCACGAGGTCGTGGGTCAGGAGGTTAAGATTAGTCAGGTCACGATTCCTCTTTCAGGAGGTTACCAGTTGACACACCTAGTTCTCTATGCAAGCAGAATCCTTTTGTGATTCCAACCACAAACAGTTCTCTAGATAGTTGGAATGTGGGGCGGGTTCCGCTAACAAATAGCTCTCAAGATAGTTGGGTGTGGGGTGGGCTCTGCCAACAAACAGTTCTCAATACCGTTGGGGTGTGGGGCTCTCTGCAAGCTCCCCAGGACAATGGTCCCCACTATACTTTTTGGGGGAAACAGCTCCTGACATGAATGGAACTGGAAAATATTATATTAGTGAGGTACCAGGTTTGTTCCATCTCATATGCACATCAATTTTTTATATATGTGTATGTGATGTAAGTATATATGGGTGTGGCATATGCCGGTCGTAGAACAACCTTGGGTATTGGTTTTTGCTTTCTACCTTGTCTGAGACAGGGTCTCTAATGTTGGCTGCTGCTTTTTTTTTTTTCTTTTTGAGACAGGGTTTTTCTGTGTTATAGTCTTAGCTGCCCTGGAACTAGCTCTGTAGACCAGGCTGGCCTCGAACTCACAGAGATCTGCCTGCCTCTGCCTCCTAAATGCTGGGATTAGAGGTGTGTACCACCATGGCCCAGCTGTTGGCTGCTTCTTATGCCAGGTTATGAGCTGCAATAATGAGCATCTGGGGAGTCCCTCTCTCTGCCACCACCCCATCTTATAATAGGCTTGCTAGGATTACAGATGTGCACTACCACGTCCAGCTTTGCATAGGTTCTGGAGAGCATTAACTCCTGCTTCACCTTGTACAGCAAGCACTTAATCCACTGAGCCTCCCCCCCCCCCAAGCTGGGCATCTTAATTTTTACACATGTGTGTTTGTGTAGGAATGAATACGGCTAGACTATATATTTCATTGACTTCACAAGCAGGCTGGGGATGTAGCTTAGAGACAGAGCATTTATCATGAGTGAGAACCAGAACTGAGACTCCCCAGCACTGAAAAAGAAACAAAAACTGCAAGGGGTGGGCACACATGCCTATAATCCCGACCCTTGAGAAGTGGAGGCAGGAAGCTCAAGAGTTCAGAGTCATCCTCAGCTTCATAGTGATTTCGAGGCCAGTCCGGGTTACAGAAGACCTGTTGGGGGGCTGTGGACCCAGACCCTGTATTTCCTGTTAACAGTGTGTTATGCTTGCAGCTGCTCTGAGAAAAACAACTTGTTTTCCTGTGTTTGCAGCTACTCTGAGCATGAGGTCCTCAGGAGTTCCTAATGGCAAGGGAGTGGTTTCTGATGGGTTTGGCTGGGGGCATGGCTGTCAGTTAAGGATCCCTGTAAGCGGTTCTGGTTCACACTAAAGGAGGCATTCTTGTTTCAAGGACGACCTGTGTCTCTGTGTGTCCGCGTGTTTAAATCTCCAGGCCCTTTCCCTGCTTGTGAATGGTCCTGTGGTGCAGGCTCCACACTACAGGCGTAGTACACATAGTAGTGTGGTCAGTACAAAGACCCAGTCTTAAAAAAAGAAATCTGCGAACACCTTGTTAGATAGCCCCATGATTCCCATTTTACAGAGGAAACAACGAACTGACGCTAAATAGCTTGTTGAAAACATCCTATCTATGCTAAGCCAGAGCTGAAACAGGTTTGTCAGAAAGTGTCCTAGCAATAAAACAAAATGGAAGCTGTCCTTTGGTCTCCTTTTTCTTTCTTCCTGTTACTTTATGTCCCTCCCCAAACCTTTTCGCTGAAGGGAAGCCCTCTCTTAGGCTTCATTGATGAGCTGTTAGTGGTCAGGGTCTCTTGTGATGTTCCTGCTTGTACATAGCAAGTCAAGACCACCCATACAAACCAAACTAAAACAAAACAAAGACAAGCAAGCAAGCAAAAACCGGCTCTGTAACCACTCAACACAACACAGCCACTACAAACACCACTTCCATATCTTCTGGAAGGAATGGCAATGAGGAATGTAACAATATAATTGGCAATGTGAGAGGAAGGAACAATGCCTTGAAAATTATTAAGTTGGTTATCCTGGAGGAAGGGGGCTGGGATGTCAGGGGACTAGGAGAGTTTAGTTTGGGCCCTCCTCCCAATCTTTTCTTTATGTCCCATCCTTTTTATGTGATAGTCTCTGCAAATAACCCTCTGCTCTCTTCAGGAGCTGTTTTCATCTGAAAGGACTCAGCAGGGCTTGCCTATCCATCTAGGTCTCTCATCCGCGATGCAGCTCCCTGCCTGGGATCCGCTGCCCCTCGTGGCCCCCGGGGCCACGGGGGACCTGCGGCGTTTTATTTTTACCATAACAGTTATAACAAGAAACTTTTTTAGAAAAAAAATATCATACTTGCCCAGGTTGCACTGGCCTTTTCTCTTTTTAAAGAGATTGGTTTTTATTATTGTCAAGCACAAATGAGTCTGTGTGCAAGTATGTGCACTTGAGTGCGGGTGTCCTCTGGGGTCAGAGGTCAGATGCTGGATCTCCTAGAAACTGGGGAATTACAGGCAGCTGTGACTCATGGGACATTGGTGTTGAAAATTAAACTCAGATCTTCTGCAGGAGCAGTGTGTGCGCTTGGTCGCTGAGCCAAGTCTCCAGTATAGTCCTTTTGTGATTGGCTGCTGTGAGTCTCCTGGTTTGTTGTTTGCTTATAAAAACACCAACACATTTGAAGTTCAGTTCCGCATTTGGCAAGGTCTGGTGGCATGTACCTCCAAACTTTGGAAGCTGAGGCAAGAGGATAGTGAGTTAGAGATCAGCCTGAGCTATATAGTAATACTCTGTCTCAAGAAAAAAAAAAAGAACTTAATGATATAGCTTAAAAATGTTCAATTTGAGTCGGGCGGTGGTGGCGCACGCCTTTAATCCCAGCACTCGGGAGGCAGAGGCAGGCGGATCTCTGTGAGTTCGAGACCAGCCTGGTCTACAAGAGATAGTTCCAGGACAGGCTCCAAAACCACAGAGAAACCCTGTTTGAAAAACCAAAAAAAAAAAAAAAAAAAAAAAAAAAAAAGTTCAATTTGCTTGATATTCTAGCCTTAGTTCAAGATAAGGGCTTACTATATCTTGTTTACCACCGCCAATTTGTGTTATAATTGCTATAAATTCCTATTGTAAAGTGACCCATGCTAACCTATTTGCAGCACTTTGTGACTTGACAGTTTGCATCCATCCATATGCTCAATAAATAAACTGGTGTTCTGGGATGACCTAGCCTAGTCTCTGGGTGTAGCTGTGGCAAGAAATGTACTCCCTCTGACCTTCATTTTGTCACAAAACGGAAGGAATGACCATTACTAGCGGTGCTATCTTGATTAGCTTCTAGGTGCCTGCAGGGGAGGTGGGGGCGGGGTGCTGGGCAGCCATCTTTGTGTCGGGCAGCTCCCGCGTGCCTGGCGTCCGCGGCCACCCCTGTGCTGGGCGGCGCTTCCGCCGGCGTGCGGGCCGGGATCCGCAGTGGTCTGCGGGCGATGGAGCGGCTGGCGGGCTGTCGGCTTGGGCCATGGATGCTGCTATTGCTCCTGCTCCGGGTGCAGGCCCGCCAGAAGGAGTCAGGTGGGCTCCGGGCAGGGCCAAGCCTGCCGCTGCGACTTGGGGTGCGCTTGGTTTTCGAGGCGCTCGCTCCTGCCCCCCGGCGCGCGTGGAATGCTGTGTGGCTGCAGCGCGAGCTGGGCGGCCGGCGTGGGCGGGGGCGAGCAGAGGTGTCTGGGCCTCTGCTGCTTGTATCCCTGGACCCATCTTCCAGAACTGGGGGTGGTAGGGAGAGAGAGGGACGTCCCCTGTGTTTTGCACCCTTTTGAGAGGGAGACTCCTACCTGTTACGACAGAACAACAGATGAGGGAGGGTTATGTTTAAGATTTTGCATTGGTTCTCTCTCGAAGGGGCTCAGTTTGATTAGGTGAGAATCCGTGTTGAAGTCCACTGTATCCATAGCCGTTTAAGGCCGAACATTAAGCTTGTGACTTTTCCAATTTCTTAGATATCTGATGGCCCAGGTAGAGGAGCAGACTTGACTCAAGCCCCGACAAGTTACACAAATAATCCTTCTTGGCATTTCTTGGCACTACTGGGAAAGGAAGGGGATTTCTGCAAGTGTTGGTCTTCTGTTGCTTCTGCCTGCTGCTTGCACATGCGAATGCCAAGGGTATTTTGTTAACTCTCATTTCCTTCACTTTTTGAAGGCTCAAAATGGAAAGTATTTATTGACCAAATTAACAGGGCTTTGGAGAATTATGAACCATGTACAAGTCAAAACTGCAGCTGCTATCACGGGTGAGTTCTTTAATGTGTCCCCGAGAGCTGGATTCTTGACCTAGGGAAACTTTCCAAAGTCCTGCAAGAGATCTTGATGGCAGTTATCAGTGATCTAAGGATGTCGTGAGAGCTGAAGGGGTACCTTAGGTGGCTCTTCCACGATGAGAAATTGCCCTGGGAGGCTCGGTATTCTCCACACGGCCTCTACTCCCTGTGGGATTTAGCAAATGCGCTTTTCTGTTTCACCCACGGACTGAAAGCATCTTAGGACCTGAGTCTATGTCTTCTCTCTGGTGCTGATCCTCTGCAATTGCTTGTTGAAGGAATGAGCGTATATATCATCTATATAATATAATTAGTATTTCCTCTTTGTTTTTAATCTTTAAGGTATGCAAGTTTGGCCCGGGTTTAGTATAGTAGAAAGATAAGCCCGTGAACAGCAAGCCTGAAGGGTTCTAACCTACCTTTTCCACTGACTACCCCTTATGGCAAGCCATGTCATTTTTCCGAAAGCTCAGATAAACAGCAATCCTTGCCCTTCGTCTTTCTAAGATTCTTCAAAAATTCTCCTGATGCTAACGATACTTCTTGAAACTTACATGGTGCTGAACTTGAAAAGAGATATAAAGTAACTGATTTCCTGGTGACTGCAGCCTATGCTGGGGAGCACAAGCCTCGCCGTTAAAATCAAGGAAAACAGGACATCTATAAGATGGCAGGGGCTATGGTTGTGGGTGTGGCATGAACAGGCCATCCACGAGCGGAGGGGGGGGCAAGCCTGATGGAGGGAGGAAGAAGAAACATGGACTTCTTCTTCCTGTTGCTTTGCTATGTTTGACACTTTGCTTTTGTGGTGCTGAAGACCAGACCTAGGACCTTGCCCATGCCAAGCAAGCTACTCTTAACTGAACTACGCCTCAGCATGTTGGATTGTGTATGTTGTGTGTGTTTGGGTATGTTTCTTTCTGGTGTCACTGTGCCTTATTCTGCCAAGTCTGGGTCTCTCACTGAACCAGACTGGGGCCAACGAGCCTCCGGTGATCTGCCTCTCTACCCTCCACAGGGCTGGGGTTATGGCTGTGTTCACTGGTGCTGGGGTTGTGAACTCAGGACCCATCTTCCCCAGGTTCTGAGTTTGATGTTCTTTTTTTTTTTCTTTAGTTACCCATAGTGCTTTTAGAAGAGTTGCTCGTTCCTATCCATTACTTTCCCCTGTTTAGTTTATTCTTTGAATAAGATGCACTTGGGAATAGACGGAATTTATCGGGATTTCTTGGCCTGCTTTCCTCAATGGTTTCCATTCTTCCACAGCGTCATCCAAGAGGACCTCACTCCTTTCCGAGGTGGTATCTCCAGGAAGATGATGGCTGAGGTGGTCAGGCGGAAGCTAGGGACCCACTACCAGGTCATTAAGCACAGATTATTTCGGGAAGATGACTGCATGTTCCCCTCCAGGTAAGATGAAGACGTATCTTCTGGTATCTTCTAAGAATGCTACATGTAGGCTAACGATACTGTCAAGTCCTCCTAGAAGCTAACTTAGAAGATTAACGAGTGAATCTTTCCTCCTATTTCAGAAAGTGTGGATAACTCACCTTGCCTGGGATTTTATTTATTTTTTATTACCAGCTATTTTACGCAATCTGTTGTACATCATTAATTATGATGGCATTGGCTCTGCCTTCTGTTTCATTTATTTATTTATTTTTTTGTTTGTTTGTTTGTTTGTTGGCCTGGTTTCACAGGCTGTGAAGAATAGACTAATGAAACCTGGTAGGGTAATGTGGGCTACAGAAGAAAGTGAAGCAGAGGGATTTATAAATGTGTGTTGTGAGCCACGTATTTCTATGCAGGTTTATGATGCCATAGTAGTAACTCACTGTATGGATTTCTTCATTTAGTCCTCTATCAGTGAATATTTAAATTACTCCTTACAAAACCTCTACAAAATCTGACCAATACAAGCTTTACTATGCTTATATATGCAGATACCTCTGCGCACACTGGTCACGGACATATGTACACGTGTAGGCTGAATTCCCAGAATAGCCAGGCTAAGTACTGTATTTTGTTTTTTGTTTCCCATGCTTTTTAAAGATTTTTTAATTAATTCATCTACTAATTTATTTGAGACGGTGTTTCATTATGTAGCTCTGGTTGGCCTGGAACTTGCTACGTAGACCAGGCTGGCCTTGAACTCAAAGTTACACCGATTTCTTTCTTCATAGCGCTAGGATTGAAGATGTGTGCCACCGTGTCTGGCTCTCATGCTCTTAAGTAAATCTTATACCCTCTACGACAATGCAGTGTATTAGACTTTTAGAATCAGATTGTAATAAGTTATCTGGTCTCATTGACACTTCCTTATTATTAATACATTACATACACAAGTATTTTATGTTTATGAACCATTGATTTTATTTGGTAGTTATCTTCTTGCATGTAAAATATGTATGTAATATTTATAAATAATATTTAATAATTATAATTGTAATAATGGACTATAATATAATAAGAAATAATATTTATTTGGTAGCTATCTCCTGGTGTGTTAAACTGTTTTAGCCGGGCATGGTGGCTGAAATGTTGGGTTTTGGGAGGCAGAGAAGGAAGATGACCAAAAATTTGAGGCCAGATGGTCTGTGTAGTAAGTTCCAGACTAGCCATGTTGCCAGAAAATTCTGATCAGTCTGTGAGCTGCTAGATCTGTCAGCTCCTGGAGTGGTGGCGGTAGGACCTCAAAGGATAGGGCAGAAACAAGTCAAACATTTTCCCTTTCTTTCAGAAAAATAAACAAGTTCTCTGAGGCTTCTCAGGGAGTGCAGTGAGAAAGTGGTGTTTTGGTCTTCATGATTTTATCGGTCCGTTTCTGTCTTGCAGAGCAAGTTTTGATAATGATCTGTATTTAGGTTGAACGTATGAAAGGTCATCATCAAGAGCTAACCTTGGAAGAAAGTAAAATGGTACCATTGGTAGTTTGAATGTAATTTGCCCCCATAATCTTATGGAGAGTAGCACTCTTTGGAGGTGTGGCTTTGTTGGAGTGGGTGTGGCCTTGTTGGAGGATGTGTGTCACTGTGGGGGTGGGCTTTGAGGTTTCCTATGCTTAGAATTCTGCCCTGTGAGTCAGTCGACTTCCTGCTCCCTTCTGGTCAAGCCATAGCCCGCACCACATCTGCCTGCGTGTCACCTGTCATGACAACTCACTACGTCTGCCTGCATGCCACCATACTTTCTGTCCTGATGATAAAGGATTGCGCCTCTGAACTATATGCCACCCCAATTAAATGCTTTCTTTCTAAGAGTTGCCGCTGTCATGGTGTCTCTCCACAGCAGTGAAAACCCTAACTCAGTATGTTAGTCAGCTTCCCGCTACTGTAACAAAACATCTGAGACAAGTAAGCATAGAGGATCATTTTATTTTGGCTCATGGTTTCAGTCTGGTCAGTTGGCGTTCTTGCTTTAGGGTCTGTGGTTATTCAGGGCAGCATGGAGGGCAGTACTGGGTAGAGAAACCTGCTTACACTCCGTCACTTGGGAAGGTGAGGATCCCGGGAGGGAGGGAGAGAATGCAACAGCTCACGCTCTCCTTGGAAGCATGGCTTCTGTGATCCAGAACCACCCTATCTTAACTGTTTACCGTCACCTTCCGGCCGAGGACCAGACATCCCAGGTCCAAGCTATAGCAGTGTCTTCGTGTGGAAAGGAACAGAATTAGGAAATAAGGGTTTCACTTTCTCTATTAAAATTTGCGTCTTTTCTACTGATTAAACTATTCTGTGTCGTGGGAAGAAAGACCGGGTAACGATCAGAGAAGTGATGTGTGTAGAAGTGGTATTCTCTTCAAAGTTAGGACTGTGGAAGCAATTTAGCTAAGAACAGTAAACTGTGCCTTGTGAAAAGTGGCATAGTCGCTGTAGAAGCATTGCATTCAGGGGACTGTGCAGTGGGCTGACGGTCTGGGCACTGGCTTGTTTCACCGTAATGTTAGCATCCTTCCTCGCCCTACGGCTTGCAGGCACAACTCTTGACGATTTTGTGTTTTTGTCTGGTTGACAGGTGTAGTGGTGTCGAACACTTTCTTTTGGCGGTGATTCAGCGTCTCCCGGACATGGAAATGGTCATCAATGTACGAGATTATCCTCAGGTTCCTAAGTGGATGGAGCCAACCATCCCTGTCTTCTCCTTCAGTAAGGTGAGCACAGGAAGGGCCACATGGGAACAGAGGGTGAGATCCTCCGATAGGAGCAAGAGATCTTCATCGGCAGTCTGATGGGTATTGGTGAGGATGAGGCTGGCCATCATCCAGGAATGAACTTGTTCTGTGTTAATTCACAATCACCGAACCATAAGACTGGTGAAATAGAGTTGAAGACCCATATGTAATGTAAGAAGAGTACCTTAGCCTATTATCTATGGCTAGGGAGAAGGGTGTCTTAGTAGCCTACAGCTCTCACGGGATCCAGGAAAGCTCACAGGCTTAATTAGGGAGTGCTGTCATTTGAGAAATGTTTCTCACATTCCTATAGTGTATCCAGTAGCCACAGTGCTGAGTATCCTCAGTCCTGTCTTTGTCTGTGTCCCAGGCACTCAGCATAGCCAAAATCTAACATTGAAGGTGCTGGGTAATACATGGTTTGTGTCTAAACAGTGTATTGTACAGATGGGCCTAGGGTGACCAAGAAGGTGAGTGAGAGGGAGTTAGGATCCTATTAGGGAGGATAGAAGTGGAGTGACACCTATGGACTTGGAGAATTTGGGGCAGGAAAGCAGCCTGTCTGTACTCAGGCTCATGCAGATGCCGTATTGGCAAGGAGTGCCTTCTGTAGAAACCAGGTATGAAGCATCCTAAACTGGGTGGTTTGGCCGAAAGACAGTGGGTTTAGGACGACCATGGTCTTTGAGTGAAGGAACAGGTGCTCTGGTTTGCTTTCTTCAAAGCAGTATTCTTTTTTCTGAGACAGGGTTTCCTTGTGTAACCGCCCTGGCTACCCTAGAACTTGCTTTGTAGATCAGGCTGGCCTTGAATTACAGAGATCCACCTGCCTCTGTCTCCCAGGTGCTGGGATTAAAGGTGTGTGCCACCACTGCCCAGCCAAAGCAGTATTCTTAGTTTTTTCTTTCTTTTCTCTTCTTCCTTTTTCTTTTTGTTTTAGTGTGGGGACAGTTGCACATGGATGTATATGTGTGGACTCTGAGGCCAGAGGTCAATACATAGGGGTGTGTGTGTGTGTGTGTGTGTGTGTGTGTATTCTGAGGCCAGAGGTTAATACATGGATGTATGTGTGTGGGCTCTGAGGCCAGAGCTCAACCTTGGGTGTTGTTTCTCAGAGCCATCTGCCTTGTGTTTGAGTCAAGATCTCTCATTGGCCTGGAACTTACTGATTAGGCTGCCTGGCAGGGCAGCAAGCCCCAGAGGTCTACTGTGTGCCACTGTGCCCAGCTTTTTGTGACTTCAGGGACTAGAACTCAGGTCTTCGTGCTTGCAAGACAGACACTTCACCTTTCGAGCCGTCTCCCAGCTGCCCCTCTCTCTTTATCAGTGTTCTCGAGAGACTTACTTCCTGTGTTTTAAGTGGTTTATGCTGGTTTCTCAAAAGCTGGTTCCAGTGTGATGTCACTTTTATTGCCTTTGTTTTCCTGTTACTTCCCTCCTGGCTCTCACAGTCTCTGACAGCAACATCCAGAGGAGGAATTGCAGTCTTTTGGCTTTGGTTAACTGTGAAGTTCCTACTGAACAACTGCTTTGTTGGAGATGCTTGCTGGGTCACCTGGGACTTTCTAAGCGCTTGAGAGGAGTTATCCCTTACCCCTGGAGTTGCCGTGGAGAAACAGTGGGTTAAAGGCTCTATAAGTAGCCACATTATAGAGGCAGCCATAGGTAGGAACAGAGGATTTTAAACTTTTACCCAAAAATATGTGTGTTGGACTTGATGGCTTCGGCCTGTAAGATCCCTGGCTTATCCCAGCACTAAAGAGGCAGAAAGGGAAGGATCACTATATTAGAGGCTGGCCTGGTCTAGGGTACGTTCCAGGCCAGCCAGAGTTACACAGTAAGGTCCTATCTCAGACAAACAGACAAACAAACAAAAACCAACGAAAAACAAAAAACAACAGCAAGCACCCCCCCCCCCCCATGTATGTGATGAGACTCCCTGCATTCTTCCGTTCTTCCCTTGGTCCTTCTGATCTATGAACAGCCAGTGTGAGCTCAACAGGGACACCCACAGTGTTAGGTGACACCAGATCATGACTTACTAGTCATCAGACAGTTTCTTATCAAGCTGTTGTAAGTCGTCTTGGAAAATAAACCCATAGGTAGAGTTAGGGATTTTATTCCCCCATTCCCTGGACATGGAGGCGTACAGTGGAGCGCTCACTTCTGGCGAAGAGGAAGCGTTGGCGTTCAGACCACCGTGATCAGTGTTAGTTCCTGATTCTTACTCTCAGAATACCCCCTGGGAAATAACTCAGAACTGGAAAAGCAGGGGAAACACAAGGATGTAACAGCAGTTACGTTTTGACAGAACTGATTATTCATAATTGGGAATATTATCCTTCCTTCCTCAAAAAAGAAAAAAAAAACCTCCAGAATTTTTAGGAACTGAAAAACTTGACCTTTAATATGGTTAAAAATTCTGGGATTCAGAGAGTCTGTTATTTTTTCCCCCCCTCAAGACAGGGTTTCACTGTGTAGCCCTGGCTGTCTTAGAACTCACTGTATAGATGTGGCTGGCCTCGAACCCACAGAAATCCACCTGCCACTGCCTCTAGAGTGATGGACTTAAAGGTGTGCACCACCCCAACCCTGCAGATCTGCTATTTTTACCCCTGGTAATTCTTGCCTTCTAATGTCTACAGTCTAGGCATAAGAGGTGATGCCTTAGCCAGGCAGTGGTGGCGCACGCCCTTAATCTCAGCACTCGGGAGGCAGAGGCAGGCGGATCTCTGTGAGTTTGAGGCCAGCCTGGTCTACAAGAGCTAGTTATAGGACAGCCAGGGCTGTTACACAGAGAAACCCTGTCTTGAAAAAGAAAAAAGAAAGAGGTGATACCTTGTGGTGTTGGGTATTGCACTTAGGGCCTCTCTTGTGGTCGGTAAGTGCTCTGTCATGGAGCTGTGTTCTCAGAGCTAACCTCGCAGACAAATGCAGTATTTCTCTGGCACCATGAAGGCCTTTATCCCAACTCTGTATGATGAATGCAGCCGGCTGCTTCTCATTCTCTCCCACAACTTACTCGGAATGCCTTTCTGTTTCTGTCAAAGACATCGGAGTACCATGATATCATGTATCCTGCATGGACATTTTGGGAAGGGGGCCCTGCTGTGTGGCCACTTTATCCTACTGGTCTTGGACGGTGGGACCTCTTCAGAGAAGATCTGCTACGGTAGGTCCTTTGGAAAGGTTTTGTTTCTCCCTCTCTGTGAGTTTTCTTGGGGTAAAGCAGCAGAATACAGTCAATAATTTAAGATTCCCGCCTGTGCTGGGGCAATGGCTTAGTAGGTAGGGTGCTAGCTGTGCAGCCTGAGGATATGAGCTTGGCTACGGAGCATCCACGTAAAACTCAGGCATAGTTGTGTGTGCCTGGAACCCCCAGAGTTCCTGGGGCCAGAGACAGATGGATGCTGGGAGCTTCCTGGCCAGCTCGCCTAGCAAAAATGGCCAGAGCCCTGTCAGTGAAGCACCTATCTCAAGGGAATAAAGTCTGACAGTTATGTCTTCTTCTAGCCCTGTTATATGCTCACGCACAGAAAGGTATACACACACACAATATATATATATAAAAGTCAGGAGACTGTCACGTAGTATGAGCAGTTTTGTGTGTATGTAAGTATTCCTGTCGGACCCGAGGACACTTACCTAGCAGGCATGAAGCCCAGGATTCGATGTCCAGCACTGCACAGACTGGTCATGGTGGCTCATGCCTGTAATCCCAGCACTGGAGAGGTGGAGGTAGGGGGATCCCAAGTTCAAGACCAACCACAACCATGTTTGAGGGTAGCCTGGAAATAAGAAGACCCTACTCAAATTTTAGAGATCCCTATCAAAAAGGGCAGAAGACACTATGCTAAATTGTCAGCAGTGCCTCTCAGGGAAGGGTTACAAGATTCTTTAAACTTTTTTAAGATGATTTTTTTTATTTTATTTGCATGTTTCCCTACACGTCTGTATATGTACCACATGCACGCCTAGGGTCCCCTAGGTAGAAGAGGGCATCAGATCCTCTAGAACTAAGAGTTACAGGTAGTTCTGAGCTGTCATGTGAACACGGAGATCTGAACCCAGATCCTCTGCAAGGGCACCAAGTACTCTGGACCACCGAACCATCTCTCCAGCACCATTTTCTTTTAATTTTTTTTTTTTTAAATATTCTTAAACACAGGGTCTCACTCAGTGCCCCAGCCTGACCCGGAAGTTGCTATGTAGTTCCCAGGCCAGCTCAGAGTAGTAGTTTTTTTTTTTTTTTTTTTAAATATTCTTAAACACAGGGTCTCACTCAGTGCCCCAGCCTGACCCGGAAGTTGCTATGTAGTTCCCAGGCCAGCTCAGAGTAGTAGCCCTCCTGTTTCACTCTGCCGAGTGCTGGGTTTGCAGGCACGAGCCGCCACACTCCGCTGTAAATTAAGTGACCTTGCTGTGAGGAAGGGGAGATAATCTGTTCAAACAGTCTCACTTTGTAACCCAGGCTGTCCTTGAATGCGTAGCTCAGACTGGGCTCAAACCCCTGATCTTCCTGGATACTGGGGTTTGCCTTCCCAAATACCAGCCTCTTATAGGTAGTTACTGCTCTGCTTGGTTTTTAAAATTACTTGGAATGTGCTTGGTAATTGGTGCTAATGCTGGGTTGTAATGGACCCTTAGGTATATTAAGAACAAGTATATTCCAGATCTTCGTGACCGAGACATGCCTTGGCCTACTGACTCCATCCTACCAGACTTCTCAGGGTCTGGCTGTCTACACTTCCTAAACCAGCTATATCTTACATTCCTGATTTTCACAGTATCGGGGTTACGCTGGTGGTGCCCTGCCCATGGAGTCTTGTCATGTAAAACAAGCTCATCCTGAATTTGCCATTGGCCAGCTTCAGTCTACTGAGTGCTGGGATTACAGGCACGTACCACCGTACCTGGCTTATTGGTACTTACTTTTCCAGAAACACAGTCATTATAGGTCGTCTCTAGGATGCAAGGAGAGCAATCATCTAATTCATCTTGTTCCCAGAGTCTGTTACCTTTACAAGTGTGGCTGGAGATTCAGAGGGGGCTGATTAAAACACAGAAGTGCTCTGGAGATGTGGCGTGCCTTCTGTTTAGAGCAAGCCTGCTTAGGTTTGGTAATACTGATACTTGGACTGGGTAGTTCTTTGTGGTAAGGAGCTGTCCTGTTCCTTCTAGGATATTTAACATCTCTGCCCACTAAATGTTAGTAGCAGTTCCTCAGAAATGTTTCCAGACGTAGCCACATGTCGCGTGGGTAGGTAAGCGAACAGAGACAGTGCCAGTAAGGGCTACAGATATGGCTCAGCGATAGAACACTCCCCTAGCATGTGCAAGGTACTGGCCGGAGCATCTAGTGCTATGAAAAGGGGAGGAAGACCCAGCTATGTGGAGAAATGAATGGAAAGCAGTTTCATTTTATTTATTTTTGAGACATACAGCCTAGGTTGATCTCCAAGTCCCCTTGCGGTTAATGATGACCCTGACCTAGTCATCTTTCTGCTTTTATTTCCCAAGTGCTGAGCTTGCAGATGCTTGCCAGCACTGTTGGAAGGAAATCCTCTGACAAATTTTTTCTTAGGTTTAACTGATGTGTATGTGTGTTTCTGTGTGTGGGGTTATGCACCAAACTCAGTGCCCTCAGAGGCCAGAAGAGGGTGTTGGATCTGTGGAGCGCGACAGTTGTTAGCTGTGGAACGTGGGTACTGGGAACTGAACTCAGTACCCTGCCAGATCAGTACATACCCTTATTTGTTGAGCCTTCTCTCCAGCCCTGAGAATGTCTTCACTGGAGTCTTCCCCAGCTGCTGTGGGCAGGGGGATTCCAGGTGCTTTTGCAACGCTTTGTGCTTTACCACAGACTCTGAAACAATGTCTGTGTCATTCCCACTAACTACAAAAGGACAAAACCCTCCAATCAGTGGATAGTTTATACTTCAGAAGAATAAGAAATAGTTCTGGCCTTGGGCTGGAGAGTCAGATAAAGTTGTCACAAACAATGCCTACAGTTCTAGCACCCAGGAAGCAGTGGCTGGGGCCTCAGGCAAGCTTTAAGATAGCAGGGCTAAGGCGGGGGCTGGATAAATGGCTCAGCTTTTAAGGGCACTGACTGCTCTTTCAGAGGACCAGGGTTCAACTCCCAGCACCTTCATAGCAACTAACAACTGTCTGTATGTCCACACAGACATACATGGAGGAAAAACACCAGTGCACATTAAAGAAAAGTGGGGCTGGAGAGATGACTCAGAGGTTAAGAGCACTGGCTGTTCTTCCAGAGATCCTGAGTTCGATTCCCAGCAACCACATGGTGCCTCACAACCATCTGTAATGAGATCTGGTGGGTGCCCTCTTCTGGCTTGCAGGCATGACTGTGGGCAGGACCTACTCCAGTTCAGCCTTCCCCTGCGTAGAGGAAGACACTGCATAGACTTCTGTGCAGGGTGGGGGTGTTCCTGAAAGGGCAGTTAAAAGCTATGTGAACCGTAAGTTTCAGCAAGGAAGGCTGGTCATGATAATATCCTCTAACTCCTGCGTGTCAGGGACTTCATCTTTCTTAGAGCATCATGAAGCCTTAAGAATCCTAGGTTCCTTTCATATAGCATAGTACATAACATCTGGTGCTCTTTGATTTATCCCCAGAGCATGAAGCCAGGAAGTGAATTCTCTTTTACTCAGTTCCTTTGCATTTCTTGTCACGTGCTATTTTTATTAATAGCCTTCTCCTCAGAGAGGAAATCCTCACTGCCAGCTCAATGGTCCTATGCATGCCATCTGGACCATGTTTCAGTAAGTTAATGTTAGTGGGTTTGTGAATTTGTAGCTATTCCTGGCAAGCCCCTTCAGAACATCAAAACAGTAATCGAAGGGTTTGTGCTTTTATTCATGGCTTGTTTCAGTAGCCTTGGACAGGTTTATTTAAAGGTACAAAATTCTGAACTAATATTCAGAAATGGTTTAAAACAGATAGTCTAGGAAAAAGCCCCAAAACTAATTAAAAAAAAAATTGTATTTTCAGGTCAGCAGCACAGTGGCCATGGGAAAAGAAAAATTCTACAGCATATTTCCGAGGATCAAGGTAATTATGTTTTCTGGCCTGTAATAACAATATTCTTCCAAGCAGTGGGTAAAATTATGCAGTCTTGAGGGTCTCATGCATCCTGTTGCTCAAAGGGAAAGCTAAAATAACCAGGAAATGAACGTGGGATGATAGCTAGGTGTTAGGAGCACACATCTGTAATCTTGCACTCGCGACGCAGGGGCAGAAATGGATGTGGAATGATGACCAAGCCTAGTGGCACCCATCTGTAATCTTGCAATCAGGAGACAGAAGTAGGACTACAAGCCCCAGGCCTTCCTCGTCTTCAGAAATGGGTTCCAGACCAGCCTGGTCTATAGGTTAAGTTTCAGGCCAGCCTGAATCTCATAGTGGTTTCCAGGCCCACCAGGATTACATGGTGAGACCTTTCTCAAAACAGCCACCATCACCACCATCAACAAAATGCTTACTGGCAGGATCTTTAACCTGAGAAGAATCCAGTTGTGCCGGTTAGTTTTTGTCAACTTAACCCAAAACTATAGTCACCTGGGAGGAGAGAACTTACCTCCCTCAGATCAGTGTACAGCCATGCCCGTGGGGCAGTTTCTTCTTTGGTGATTGGTGTGGGAGGGCCTGTCCCTTGGTGGGCCATGCCTCCCTGGGTATGAGGTCCCAGGAAGGATAAGAAAAGTAGCTGAACATGACCCTGGCTGGAAACAAGCTAGTAAGTGACTTTCCTCTGTGGTTCCTTCTTTTGCAATAGTTACTCCCCAGTTTCCTCAGATCGATTGTGATCAGGATATGTACACAAGCCAATCAGACCTTTCTTCCCCAAGTTGCTTTTGGTCATGGTCTTATCACCACAAAATAATAAATAAATAAATAAATAAATACAAAATAGGGCATCAACTATTTGCCAAATCACTCACAATTAAACTGGGATTCAAAGAAGTCAAGTCCCCAACAGTTAACTCAGTCCGTCTTTGTAGAGTGTCACCTGTGGGGCAGAGTGGATGATCCTCTTCCTGTGTACAGTTTCCTAGACATAGCTTGTCACGTCACTGTGCCTCAGTATCTCAGGGCTACCTTGGTAGGGATCGTCACCAGGTCTCCTGACTGCCTTGTGCTCAGACCATGTGGCTACTAAATAGTGCCTAGTGGCACAGGCTGAGGCTGGGCAATGGAGAGGAAAGAAGAGGTGTTCTGCTGAGGACAGTGCTGACAGGTGGGTGGCACAGTCAGTACCCGTGGAATGGGTAATAGACCATAAAGAGGAGTGTTCATAGTTGTTGTAGTGGGGTGCTGTCTATCTGAGATCACCTTTTTTTTTTTTGGCAGGGTTCTGCTATACAGCCTAGACTAGCCTGAACTTGAGACGTGCTTGCTTTTCCAAGTAGCTAGGGTTATGAGCATGTAATCACTGTGGTCTTGTCTTTTTTTGTTTGTGTATATTTTGAGACAGGGTCTCACTTTGTAGCCCTGACTGGTCTGGAGCTCTCTATATAGTTCAGACTGGCCTTGAACTCACAGAGATCCTCCTTCGCCTCATGAACACTGGAATTAAAGATTCGTGCTTCTATGCCTAGCTTGTTTTCAAATTTAAATACTATATTGGTTTTCAACTTTAAATATTATATATTCATGGTTGGCAAACAAGAATAGCCGTCACACTGCACGACAAAGACTGTGTAGCTATTTTGGTGAGTGGTGGTTATGTAGCCACACAGCTGTAAAAGGCAATGATGATAGGTATTGGTTTAACTGTCTAAAAAAGAAAACCATTCCCTGAAGTAGAGCTGCGGTGACTAGAACATCAGTGGCTTAGGGTTACTGTGATGAAACACCATGACCAAAAGCAACTCGGGGAGGAAAGAGTTTATTTCCTTCACAGTTCCACAGAACGGTTCGTTGTCAAAAGCCAGGAACTCACAGCTAGGAACCTGGAGGCAGGAACCGATGCAGTGGCTGCAGAGGAATGCTACTTACTGGCCTGCACAGCCAGCTTTCTTACAGAAAGCAGCCCAGGGATGGCTCCGCCCACAATGGGCTGGGCCCGCCCCCACTGATCACTGATTAAGAAAATGCCTTACAGCCAGATCTTAGGGAGTCGTGTCCTTAACTGAGGCTCCCTCCTCTCTGATGACTCTAGCTTACAACAAGTTGATATAAACCTAGCCAGTACAATTATATTGACCAGATGCAGGCCAAATGTGGTGGCGCACACTTATAATCCCACTGCCTGGGAGATTACCAATCAGGATCAGGAATTGAAGGCCACATTTGGCTATATGGTGAGTTCTAGGGTAGCCTGGGCTACATGCAATCCTGTTTCAAAATAGTAAAACTGGATGTAAGTGAAGACTCAATACTTCCCATCTTTGATGCTTAAATTGGGAGTAGCCTGAACCACCAAAATGCTGCACTACCCACGATACCCTTTACTGTACCAGACCCAGAGAATTACCCCGTTTGTGCCAGCAGCCACCTCCCTGGCCAGTACTGCTCACCTTTTAGGGACTGGGGACATTATGGTGTAGGCCACATAGACTTACGTTCTGTATTTTCTCCGTAGGACAAGCCCAGAAAGAGATCCTCTCATTCTTCTGTCTCGGAAAAATCCCAAACTCGTTGATGCAGAATACACCAAAAACCAGGCCTGGAAATCTATGAAAGTAATCAGCCGCCCTCTGACCAGAACCACAGCAGTGGTGACTCTGAGAGCAGTGCCAGCTGGGTAGAATTTCAGATTAGGTGTCCGCTCGGCGGTGAGATGACCGTGGAGCAAGTTCCTAGCACCAGCATTAGCGCGAATGTAGCGCTCTGTCTTCAGACTTAACTCTCAGTGCTGTGCCGAGTGTGTCGGCCACTCGGCCAGATAGGAAATGTGGGTCTGCCCAGGTCATTACTGCTTGTCCTGCAGGAACGGTGAAAGGAGCGGGCAGCTTCACAACATGACTGTTTCCTAGTTATTAGTGGACACCAAAATTTGAATTTCATGTGAGATTTGAATTTCATGTTTTTTCTTTTTCTTTTTTTTTTTTTTTTTTTTGAGACAGGGTGTCACTACATAGCTCTAGCTTTACTTGAATTTTCTAGATCCGGCTCGCCTCCAACTCCTAAGTCGACTTTCCTCCTCCCCTCTTCCTCCCAAGTGATGTGGT